GGGAGGCTGAAGGTCCCTGATTCTTGCAGGAGTAAAAGGAAAGTCATACTCAGCATTTCACAGAATGGGACCTTTCAAGAGCAGCTTTCCAGAGGCACTTACCATGAACACCAATTCAGCATACTCAATCAGGAAGTGAAAGAGATATATAATCAGTGGGGTCTAAAAGAGAGCAGAAGAGAAACCCATGTTAAACACTGTCCAGATAAAACGGCTGGAAATTTGATGAGAACAATGGAGTGGTACTATGAAACACTGTGAAAGGTAGTTTTCCTTGGCCTCTTCTACAACACTGGTACTTCAGAGTAAAGTGATTAATCAAAGCACATGTACTCATCTTTTCTCTTGCAAAGTTCTCAATATGCTTTATAAAAGGCACAATCAACTTTGAAAATCATATTCTCTTCCAACTTTTCAGTTCTACTAGTCTAGTGGTACAGTTACAGTAGAAAGCATATAAAGAACAGCTTTAGAAAGTATTTTTTTCCTAGAGAATCTATTATTTTTCAGCTTGTTCACAGGTACTTTTGAAAGCTGTCTTCACTGTTAAACCTCTTGTTCAGATGAGCCTTTTATAAAGCAGAAAGAAGAAAGCATGTTAAAACCACAAAGCAGTGGCACTAGAGTCCTATCATCCTCTTACTCCCACAGCTTTTCCCTTCAAGGGTAGGAGGAAGAGCATGTTCCTGAATTATTCCTATGACAGAAAAGCTTCATCTGGAAGTACTATATTTACACGGTGTAAATTCACTGTGAGCAAATAGATTTCTTTTGAAATACTTTTAAAATAATGTGATGGTATAAAGAGAAAATACTGGAGAGAAAACTGTGTGTAGAGAAGGAGAATTTGTTGAAGAGATGCAAATTTTCAGAAGTATGATGGGAAGTTACATTCACACAAGTAAGACCACTCAAGGCACAGAACCCCACAGATGCTGAAGTGTTTGGAGGAACGAGGTGTTCTCAAGATGAGGGGTAAATGTACTGCTTGCCTGTGCTAATTCAGTATTTCAGCAAACACACAAACTCAAGATGCTGCTACCCAGTAAAACTGTGTTCAGACTCACAATGACACTGCCTCTTCCTGCTCTGGCTTCTGCTCACAGAAACATCTGGATGTGAACAGAGTGTTTTCCTATTACACATTTCCCCTATTTCAGGCTCTCCTTACAGAGTAAGGAATCTTACAATGTCTATCACCTGCACAGAGAGTCATTCTGTGATGAACTGTATTTCCTCACTGTGCTAGTCACTACACATGCAACTACTATTTGCACTACATATACAACTGCCGCACAACAACTACACGACTCCAATTTCTCTGAAGTCTTTGGGACAAGCCTTTGCCAAGCTGAAAGCAGTAAGACTAAGAAACGCGCCACTTGAAATGAAGCATGCATACTGACCTCATGGAAAACAGCTCCAGAGTATGGCGAGACCCCTAAATCCAGCAGAGCTAGTCCTTCAACCACTGAAACATACAAAATGCCTACATTAGAATCCTGAAAGGTGGGAAGAGAAAGATCTCATGATGGTAAAAGTACAAAACCTACAGGTTTTAAAACATCCACACTCATAACAGTCTCACATGGAATCGCCATCTCAGTGGGTGACACAAAATCTCACAAAGCCAACAACCAGCTACAACTGATTGATTGCCTCCGTATTTCTGCCATGCAAAGCTCTTCACTAACTGAATGGGCACCTGTAATCTCTTTCAGCTAAAAAGGTTATAGCTGAAGTGTTTTGCACTTTGCTATTTATAAATCATATAATTGATATTGATGGATTTTAAGTCACCCTTGCTGAGACACATAGTATCTATGCTGAAAAAAATACTGAATTCTAAGAGGACAAATCATGATGTAATACAGAATTTGAACTATTTTGCCTAATTAGAGAGACTTGAAACGTCCAAAACAACCATAAAAGAGCAGAAATGAATACAGATTATCAGGCAAAGCTAAAAGCTTTATCTGGTTTTGAAAATCCCTGACGTTTTACAGCTTTAATCCAGATCCTTTGCGACCATGTAATTACAGCCTGTACTGCAACACATGCACATGCTTTTCCATCAGCTCTCCACCTCGCTGAGCACAGAGGATCCCTGGGGACTGAGCAGCGCGTGCAGTCAAAGGAGCTACGGGAAATGGTCCATTTGTTCAGAGGTGAGAGGCAGGAGACTGCAGGAAGCAACAAGAGGTTCTGGGTTCAGCAATATGCTGGAGGAGAAGACCCTGTCTCTGCCACAGAATCCCTGTATGATGGCAGCCCAGCCTCTTCCAGGTGATCCTGTGCTCCTCACTACCCAAATGCCTCCCTTGACGCTTTAAGACAAGACTTACAAAGCATCTTTTGCTGCAAGGGAATGTTTGGGAGCTGTATTTTGAAACTAGGAAGCGTGAAGTGCTACAGTGCAGAGCAGAGGCAGCAAAAAAGCATTCAAGCTTTTGACCTTTATTGCTCCTTGCCACTGTTTTCCACCCTAAAACTGCAAATCATTTTTCCCTCTTAATTACTAGATATTATTGTCCCAGGAGGCTGTCTTTAAAATAAATGAAGGTTCCTCACAGGCTCAGCTGCTACAGACATGGATGCCATCAAAAAGTCTTGGTTAAACTGTACCTTGGGCTTCAGAGCAGAACTTAAATCATGTTGGTAACAACACGTGGGGCACAAACTGAACAAGGACAACGAAACTGTGAACAGCTCTGCACAAACTGGGAATCGTTGTGGTCGTGTTCACACCACGGGACAGTGCTTGTGCAGTTACAGTGTGATGGATGCAACTAAAGGCTCCAGAGAGACCTTAGAGCAGCTCCA